GCACACAGACTGAAGGGCATGTCATAAAGTTCAAGAGGGGTACTCTTGTCCGAATTCATCACCGGCACGGATCTTCAGATTGAATCCAGGACGGGATTCACATAGATTGATATATCCACTTTAGAAGATCTACAGATATTCTCACTGGCGTGGTTCAACAGCAGCCTTGCTACGGCTAGGAAAATACATACTCGTCAACGATTCCCTGAGTAGAATTTACAACAAAGTTCAGCATTAATTCTACCATTACGACGCTTCATTGATGTATGCAGTCTACACGCTGACAACGTGAAGACTTCAGCTGATCATCTGTATAAAAGGGCGACGGCATTATCTTCAGGACTGAAGTAACAGTCACAGCAGCCAGGAAAACAGCCTACCCACATCGGTATTACGCGGCGAAATATTTCGTGCGTTTACCATTCAACCCTCGATACACTTGGTCACTCGTGTAACTTCGGAAGGCTACGGACAAGACCGACAGTTGATCAGATATCAACGGCAGCACTAGATTCTACAAGGACCTTTTTTCCTGCTACACCGGTGACGTCACAGCGCGGAAAGCCAAAGGAATCAAAATGCTTTATTTTGATTGGACCACGAGAGACAACGCCCTGCGCAGAGGTCGGACGTAGTTCACAGGTCAAGAAATGGTTTACAAGTGACAACAACATGTCAGCGAGCGAGGAAGGCCTCAATTACAGTCCAGGTAGACGGGACCTACGTGATTTGGCTGCCTTCATGAGGTTAGAGACCTTCCCTGTCATCATTGAAGACGTTTTTTCAGACGACTTGCAGCAACATACGTTGGCCGGACTTTAGGTGGCGGCAGCCAGACGACTTTATATAGACTTCGCAACAATGGCAGCCACAGAGTCGGACATCGCTTCATTTCCCTTACGGACACGGCAAGGGTTTCAAGATCTTAGGATATAGATACAAGTCCTTGTATCTCAAGCACTACTTTCTCCGTTATTACTACGAAGTGGCAGAGTCTGTTGCTTCTTCTCACGTCAGCACAAGACATGACACGCAGAGGGAGTCTACAACTACGCCCACTACAGGTCTTCGTGAATGTAAAACTGGACAATCCGGACCCCTATCTAATATGGTGGACTCAGAGATAGGAGGGTCGCAGACGCACCTATTTAGCAGAGCCGGAGTACAAGACGCATCTCTATGTGGACGCATCTCTCCAAGATTGGGGAGCACACATCGACAACGATGTGTCAGCTGGGATATGGACCATAGCAGAGAAGATCTGCACTTCCACATGCTGGAAATGAAAGCAGTGATAAACGCCATACTCCACAGGACCAGCATTTTGTTGAATGCTCATCTGACGGTACATACAGTCACCTCCACAGTGGCGTTCTACATCCACAGAAGGATCAACAAGGTCTGCGAACCTTCTGGACCTATGCTTTCAACTGGCCAGCATAACAGTCAACCTGAATGTCCACATCAGAGCATGCCACATTCCAAGAGCCAAGAATGTGATAGCAGATGCACTATCCGGTCCAACGCAGCCATTCTCAACAGACTGGATGCTACATCCAGAGATCTTCAAGCAGATCATACAAAAGATGGGAGCACCATTAATAGACCTCCTCGCCACATGGGTCAACTGATAACATTCGTCTCACCAATACCAGATCCACGGGCATGGGCAGCGGACACGCTAAGCTTCTCCTGGCAAGGACTAAAACGCTTACGCTGCTGTTACCAGCTCTAATACCGAGGGTGTTGCAGAAAATCAGTCACACGAGAGTCCTACAACTACTTGGGGCCCGCCTTACTGGCCAGCGAGAATATGGTTCCCTATTCTCATACAAGATCTAGGACTGCCTCAACTGCAACTACCAGATTGGACGAATCTACTAGTACATCCTCACACAAAGCAGGTGCACGGCAACCCAGAGGTGTTCCGGCTACACGTGTGGACTGTATCAAGGCATGCTTGAACAAGAGAGGATATTCTGCCAGGGCAGCGAAAGCAGTCACACTAGCTTTACGTAGGCCTACACGCAACTTGTACGATGACAAGTGGCGATGCTTCGAGACATACGTTTCGAGGGCCGGCTTCAGAGCCATGAAAGCGACACATCCTCAAGTGGCGGACTACCTTTGTCAGCTAGACAAACGAAGCGGTTAAAAGGGTCAACACTCTCAACATACCTAGCGGCATTGAGGTCAGTTATCGCCATGAGGACGAGTGCAACTGACGAAAGTACCAGTTACTGGCCTTACTACGCCCTTTTAATTGGAGGACCAACAACAGAGATTTAAAGCTCCGGTGTGGGACCTCAACGTAGTTCTACGACATCCCACTAGTGACATCTATGATCCATTATAGAGAACATCATTCGAGTTCTTAACGCAGAAGACGCTGTTCCTGATAACCTTAGCAACAGCAGCAAGGATGTCGGAAATACATGCTCTGGACTTTGAGAGAACACGATTTGATGAAAATCAAAACATCGTGCATATGGGACTGAGATGGGACTTCATAGCAAAGAATCAACTGCCAGGTCATCCAGCCAGACAGTTCCACGTCCCAACACTATTATCAGTCCTTGGACCACAGGATACGCAGGACCTATCCTTGTGCCCAGTGAGAGCATTGAAAGTCTACCTACAAAGATCCAGGTCCAGGAGACGGAAATTCAAGGTTTTTTTCGTCTCGATATCGACAGCGAAACAGACGGAGGTCTTCCGCACTAAGATATCAAGCTGGATCAGTACTGTCATACTACGGGCCTACAAAGCAGCAGGATTTGATCCTCCACGAGCCTCCAACCCACATGAAGTTAGAGCTCTGGCGTCAACGCTTGCTCTACATGGCAATAGCTCTATCAGGACGATAATGGAAGGATGCTTCTGGAAATGGGACATGGTATTTGCCAACCACTACCTGAGGGGCATTGCCACCGAGGACGGCTCTGGCATTCACCATTTCGGCCCACTTTTTGTAGCACAACAATTGACAGTCCCACAAAGGCGCTGAGACGGAGTCTCGCCCTTTTATCACATGACTTACAAAAGCCTACACTCAGGAGAGTTCAGCTTGAGAGTCTATATGCAAGTCTAGGACAGACTAGCATAAGTGATATGACCCAGTACTTGTAAAGACATACTCGTACAGGAAAGGGTCGCTTCTCCACTTGATGCTCGCATCAAGAGATGGAGTTGCAAAATCCATATGAAATGTTAACAGAAGCCAAAAGTTAACAATTGTGGTCCCCCCATCAGAGAAAGCTGGAAGTGAAGGGTTACAGCAGCAGCAGAGCCTAGCAGTAACAGAAGTTCCCATAGGGGGGTATGCAAGACGTAAATCACTACATGAAATCCAGAAGTAGCTTGACCCACCACCAACTCCGTCGGATTCAACAAGCAAAAGAGCATGAGTCAGGATAAGGAAAAATATGTAATTTTCTGAATAAAATTGATATTTTATACTTATCCTGACTCATGTGATAAGCCCTCCCAACCTCCCCGCTAGACACTTTGGATTTTCCTGTAAATTAAAGTGTCGGGCTCATAATTCGGAGAGAGTGAAGCATGGGAGTACGGTGGCGCCGCTTTCCCGCCACACAGATAACTTGTGGTGAGTAGGGATTTTACGTCTGTTCTTTATTGAAGGGAGCTTCAATAGGAGATACAAGTGTTCCACTAACGTTCGCAAGAGGAAGGAGACAAGCAAAAGAGCATGAGTCAGGATAAGTATAAAATATCAATTTTATTCAGAAAATTACATAATGTTAATACTAATTTCTAGTAATAGTTGTATGATGATATGGAATAATTCGGAACAGATTTGATTGCAACCAATTTTTAAGGATGATAAGGGCAGGATAGTACATTTCAAAGTTGATATGTATTTATCAGTTTTGAGTAATACTGCCACAATATACAATTATTGACTTCTAGTGAGGTTGATCCAATGTTTTATCGACCTTGGACATGTGATTTTCACCGAGGCGAAGCCAGTAATTGTTTTATTCTATGACAAAAGTACTATATACATTGAATACACAGTCATGAATCTTCGTGGTGTCATGTCGTCTGCCATTTTGATACAGATGGGACATAACTCTAAACCAACACAGTCACAGGGACGAAGCGATGCCTATTGCTTCCTTATCTAGCGTGACGCACACAGTCCGGAGTTCACAGCTGGAATATCCCAAATCTATTTTTAGCCACGGGAGGTGGTGAGGTTGACATTGCTTAGCGTCAACGCTGTCATGTGACCAAATGGGCCAATCTGAAGGGGGAAAATGTACCCGTCATATAATAATGAGGCATAGTGCATTCGATCTCCAATTTAAAGGAAGTTTGTCCCATCCCTACATACATCATGACAAGGCCGGCCACTTTGGTGTACCCCACCCGCCTGCTTTGACGATCGCTACTCTTCCATCGTATGCAGTGTGAGAAATTGACGCTGGTCCTGTGGTCCCTGGCCATTAAAAATTCATCAGGACCACTAAATGATAAGTTTGCAGTGGTCCTGGTGGCCCATGAATTTTGTATTAATAGTTAAGTAAATCTACGAATGTTATTTTGGACCAGTGAAGTACAGAGAGGACCACTAATTATTGTCCACTCGCTGATTCTGTGGTCTAGGGGGAAGTTTTGAAAGGTTTCTTTCCCTGCGTATGCAATGGATTAAAACTTAATGAAAACATAATCATGAATGATGGGCTTATCGATCACCACTCATGACACCTACCAATTCTTTATTGTTATTTCTGCAAGTTGATTGAAACCCAATTTTGACCCTCACCTAAACGATCTAGTCACAAATGGATGACAATATATCCCCACAAAACGGGGTTGTGGTCAAAAAAAGGAAAGGGATAAATCTACCTTTAGTACCATTACTGTTAAAAAATTAAAAGATTCATATCCTCGACTATTTTTATGGACCCTTAACAAAAATTCTTTTGATATGTAAATATAAACATGCAAACCAGTATTTCTTTTTGTCATTTCAGGTTTCAATAGGTTATCTACCAAACAAGAGAATTCTAGGACTCAGTAAATTAGCCAGGTAAGAATCTTGATTTTGTGGCTTCATTGCTCAAAAAGTCAGCATCATCCATTCATACATTCCAACAGAGACCAACTTTGGTAAAGCGGCAGTTTCATGCAGACAGTACAGTTTTCTAACTCACCTGGTCTGGACTTGACCTGGTCTGGTCTCCTGAAACATCTTTGAAAATAACTAAAGGAATTTGAACTTATGTAAACAAGACATTGCTTTCAAAATGACATTTTAAGTTCATAAACCAATTAGGTATCAAATGATGGTGTAAGGAGGATTGGTATGCGGTGAGTAAGGGGCTCTGCTATTCACACAGTGTGAACTCTATCATGTGTATAAGCCATTTTGTGTTGAACAACAACACTTATTACTAAGTCATGAAATGAATATCCATGCTGGTTCTAATAAAGTGATTCAGTTTTGACCTCACATATTGGAGTTTATGATCTATAAGGGTAGAAAACAAGTTGATGAAAATCGTATGTATACTTGTGCAGATATACCTTATCCCCAAAAGCATTTTATTATATCATTCATATCTTATTCTGTAGTAGGGTCAGAATGATGTCTCACTTGGAAAGACGTCATAGCCGAAGACTGTTGACATTCAACAATGTGATTTTGCTTATGTGAAGGATCAAAAGTATATCTTTGATCGGTTCATAACTTGGATCAAATCCTCCTCCATTTTGTTTGAAAAAGTAAGTCCGCGGCAAAGGGAAATTGGGGTGGGCCAATAGGTGGGCATGTCTTGTGAGGAACACATGGTTCATACTGACAAACATTTTCATTCTTCACAGCGATCCTTCGTAGCCTAGTGGATAATACTCGCTACTAAGCGAAGGGTTGCAGGTTCGAAAACAGGCATCGGCAATATCTTGGAAGTTTCCAATAATGCGATATTTTACAATCGTATTCAGTAATAGCAAGACAAAATTATATCAATCTTCAAAATAAGTAAAATAATTCAAGGCTGTTCCTCAGAAAATCCACAGGATGCAGGCAATCCCAGGGATTTCATGGAGAATGCCAGCAAAACTGCCTGTAGAGGTTTACTCAGTAAAAGGAGAACCTGGCGAGACAATATATTGATGTCACTTGTGGTTTATAAGTGTCATTCTGATTTACAAAAGTTGTATACAAATTTCTGCAAGACCCCCACTCTTGGGGAGAATAACAGCTACTTAACCACATATACTGTAAGGTAGATATAGCCATGACAGATCAGATGGTGAACGTGACTATATAAACCCAGAGTTTTAATGTTACCCCACAGACACGTTTGAAGACAAGATTGGATGCATGGTTCGTGGTAGTAATGTGTAGTGTCTTAATACCTTTATGAGAACCTATACTGATATCCTTGGTAGTACACAATCACCATGAGATTAGATCAAATGAGATTCATGCAAAGTTAATTGGAGAGCATTCTCATTAACTTGGCAGTGAGACTCAGGCATATGTGAGGAAAGCTGTCAAACCATCTTTGAAGAGCTCATGAGTGTCATGGCAGATTCTTGGCAAGTCACAGGCTGGGTTATCTCACGAGTGTCATGGCAGATTCTTGGCAAGCCACAGGCTGGGTTATCTCACGAGTGTCATGGCAGATTCTTGGCAAGTCACAGGCTGGGTTATCTCACGAGTGTCATGGCAGATTCTTGGCAAGTCACAGGCTGGGTTATCTCACGAGTGTCATGGCAGATTCTTGGCAAGTCACAGGCTGGGTTATCTCACGAGTGTCATGGCAGATTCTTGGCAAGTCACAGGCTGGGTTAGCTCATGAGTGTCATGGAACGCGGTCTGACAGTCATCTCACTGTATGCACGATATATGTGTTAAGTTGTTTTGAAATCAGATGATTATGTCAGTTTATCAGATCTTGCTGTGCTACTCAACAGTTGAACCAGTTTATTAGGGAAGAGAAGCATTTTCTTCCATTTCTCAGTGATACAAGTTCGCTGAGAGAATGTTTCACAAGACATGGAAGTTTTTTTAAAGGTCACATGCAACGTAAAACACAACTTTGCAGATTCTGATACCTTTCGGTATGGACTTACCGAAACAAAGCGTCAAAAATGCAAATTCAACTTATAAAGTTGAAAAATAACGCGATGAAAAAAAACGCGCGAAATCGGAGTTCAAACGTTTCACTAATTTTCCCCAGACTTTTCTGGGGAATACGGGTTTCAACAGCTGGGCTGCGCTCATAGCACGTGCACAGTGAAATAGGTTCGCGCAACTTGGAAGCGGGCTGTCTGGTGAATACTCGGTGAAGGCTTTGGTGTGAGCTATTTTCATAATGTTTTGTTGATATCTCACAGGCGCGAGCTTTTTATATGTTATGACAGTAAATAAACTGTTTATATAATTTCATTTGTCTATTTCACCACACGTTCTTCTTACCGAGTCACTTTCTCAGGTCGATACTTAAAAGCAATGTCATTATTTAGCGTTGACACAATTTCTAACTGTGATATAGATATGTCGCTGTCACAGACAAAACTCAATGTCTTGTTTTATTGACACCTGCCTGCCTGCCTGCCTGTCTGCTAATGACAATATTCAATACACAACTGCGATCACTGACCACATGCAATTTGAACTTAACACCAATCAGGCTATACACCATAAACAAAACGCATTTATTTATGGCCCGAGTTCTGTCTCTGTCACATTATGTAATTACACAGACAGGCAGGTGTGATACTTGAACACATGACATGTTATGATGTCTGTTGATTGTAAAATGTTATACACAAAAAATGAGCATGTATTTACAAAACCCAACATCTCTATATATACACACACAATGAGCCGTGAAGGCGGCATCTGCAAATGAACCAGCCGTTACACTTGAGTGCACACTCACCCGCTCTGACTGGGTTCGGTATCCCGGCTGCTTCGTTTCGAGGGAGGTAAACCCAAGTACAAAATATTGCACTTTTGATTTGCGATTATACGCTTATAATTTTGTTTATATGTTTTTTCATAATCAGCAATGCATATTATATGTCATGAAGAAGTGATAATTGTGTTTTAATTATGTTTGATTTTTTGGTTGCATGTGACCTTTAAGAAATATTGGTTTGTTACACCTTAAGTTCTAGAATAAATCAGAAAATTCCACGTCAGGGCCCCGTTTCACAAAGCTCTCGTAGCGCGTTATCACTATCGTAAGTCAATGTTACACTATAGGAAGTATGCAGTCTAAGTAAACTTAGGCTCAGTATTATTCGTTACACTGCTATACTGAGTCTAACAAAAACTTGTGGAAGTTCGCGTCAGGTAACCTTTGAGCGACCTATGACCGTCCAATCAACGGCTACTATTTAGGGTTTGGCGGGACTTACAAAATGGATTTTCTCTCCCCCGGTCGCCAACACTGATCTCATAACAAATGAAAACCTGCATAAAACACAGATATATGACCTGCAGAATATACGCTTTGGGGTTTCTGTTGAAACGGCTATCATTAGCTAATATTTCCGCAAGCTGACATCCTTGAATACTGACAAAACACTATTCTCAGCGACTGTTTACTCACTCTTGTGGCGTGCTCCATGTGCATCACTCGGAAGCGATCGTACGGAAATAGCATTCGGAATCGTTCAGGTACAAAACATTTTCGAGGTAAAGGTTCGAAAGGTATGTGCGAATGTCAACTTTCGCGATTTGGTAAGCTGTGTTCTGATTGGTCCATTGAAAAAGTCAGCTGACACGAACTTCCACAAGGTTTTGTTAGACTGTATAGCAGTGTAACGAATAATACTGAACCTAAGTTTACTTAGACTGAGTAAGTACGAATGCTACAAGAAAAGTTACGAGATCTTAGTCTTACAAGAGCCCTTGATTTTGGGACTATTAAGAATGCCAAATTCAAGTTTGATATGCTCCAAATCTGCTGGAATTGCTGCAGGCATTTCATGAGGAATGGCAGACGATTCTGATGCTGAGACTCTGATGCTTGGTCGCCAGTTTGAGGAGGAAACTAGATGTTTTCTGTGAGATGTGTAGCTGCTCATTGGCTCTTTGATGATAGTAATGGCTATTTATAAAGCGCCATGTTTCCATGCACTTGTGCATGCTCAAGGCGTTAACACATTATTACCCAAGATAACCCAAGGTGCCTGTGATGCGCTAGAAGGTTAACAGTCATATGACTTATCCCACTGGGTACCCATTCACTGCTGGGTGAACAGAGGCAATTGATTAACAAACTCACTTGCTTAGGGCGAGACCTCATGTGTTTTGTGTGCTTAGTTAGTGAGGCAGGACTGAAGTCCTGGAAACTCTCAGGAGTGAAGCGGTTATGTACGACAACCCATCTAAGGACTGTCTGTAACCAACGTTGCTTAACACGTTGACTGCCACCACGAGTATACTCATAGTGACAATTCTGGTCAAATTTTCCACTACGAGATATCTCGTAGCTATATCAGTGGTATTTTAAAACAAGTTTCACATGTTGGCAAACAGGCACAAGAAGCAATCGTCTCCTGGCGGTAACAAAGAACACCAGGAGACAATTGTTTCCTGTGCCTATTTTGCCTACATGTGAAACTTGTTTTAAAATACCACTGATTTAGCCACGAGATAGCTCAGAGCAGCAAATTCGACAAGAATTGATACTACGAGTAGACTCGTGATAGGCAGTCAACATGTTAACTTCAGCTGATTTGTGACCCGGACTCTATGCACAGGACCACACAATACCAGGTGCTGATGTGGTTGCCATTGGTGGTTCATAGAATCACAACAATCATAGTTTTGAGAACTCTCTGAATATCAGACTACTGGCATAGTCATGGTGACTATACTTTCCAGCATTGTTGATTTTCATGTTTTTGTGTATTCCTCTCAGATGACAAGTAAATAGTTACCAAATTATAATTTCAGTTTTATTTTGCTTTTAGTCAAAGTAAAATATATTACAGTTACCATTTCAGTATACAGAATTTGGTTCTGAAACTACACATATCTTTGCAGATCTCGCGATCTAGTGTTGG